GCCAACAACGAACAAATTTTGGAAGAGGCAGGGGTCATGGCACCCCTCAATATCCCAATAAGGGTCGTGGTTCTCTTAAGATGTGTACCTATTGTGGAAAGCCTAATCATATTATTGATACATGTTACCAGAAACATGGATTTCCTCCAGGTTTTAAGTCCAGAGGTCCAAAGGCAAACTTTGTGTCTCAAGAAACTATTGATACCACTGAAGCAGTTGAAAATCAAGATGTTGTGGTGAACATTTCTCAAGAAGAATATCAAACTCTACTGAAAGGTTTACATCTGAATCCTGCCAATGAAGAGACTGCCTTGAATTCCTTGAATGCCAATACATCAGCTATAACAGGTAAATTTTCCTCCAAATGGCTCCTTGATACAGGAGCCACTGACCACATTAGTTGTTAATCATCCAGTTTTTCCACTATTTTCCAAATCACACATGTTTCAATAACTCTCCCTGATGGCTCAAATACCATAGCAAATTCTGCTGGCACAGTAATTTTCTCTTCAACACTGACATTACACAATGTTTTGTTTGTGCCTTCATTTCATGTAAATTTGGTATTTGTTACCAAATTACTTCAAACCATTCCTTGCTATCTAATATTTCGTGACTCATATTGTTGTATTAAACAGATCAATACCAATGTGATGATTGGTTCAGCTGATCAAACTGATGGATTATATGTAATGAAGTCTTCTAGTACAGATCCTGTTAACAACAACAGTCATAGCAGCACCTTAAAGAAGTTTGCCTTCAACATTTCTCAACATTCCAGTAATAATACTGATGCCTCTATGTTATGGCATCATAGGCTAGGTCATGTATCTCCTTTTACCTTGAAACATATGGCAATAAAATTTCCTTTCATTACTGTTAAAGATATATCCCCTTGTGATACTTGCCATTATGCTAAACAACACAGAAATTACCCTATCCAATCAGTAATTCCAAGACCACTTCTATTTTCCAGTTAATACACGTTGACATATGGGGACCTTACTCTATTCCCTCTATTCATGGCCATAGATATTTCCTTACTATTGTTGAAGATTTCTCTCGATTTACATGGGCATTGTTAATGAAGTCTAAGACTGAGGCTAGAACTTCACTACAAAACTTTATTATCATGGTAAAAACTCAGTTTAATAAAACCATCCAATGCGTTCGCTCAGATAATGGAGATGAATTTGCTATGCCTTCCTTTTATCAAGACAAAGGTATCCTACACCAAAAGAGCTGTGAGGAGACTCCCCAATAAAATGGGGTTGTTGAGAGGAAACACCAACACATTTTAAATGTGGCTAGAGCCCTCATTTTTCAGTCTAAATTGCCTTTACAATTTTGGTCTTATGCCATAACCCATGCCATTCATCTCATCAACCGAATATCCACTCCCTTACTTAATCACCTCACCCCATATAAAATTCTCTATAACCAACCTCATACATTACTGCACCTGAAAGTTTTTGGGTGTCTTATCATATGCTTCCACCCTTTTATCCAATAGAACCAAGGTGTCCTCAAGGGCTCATAAAACAATTTTTGTAGGATACCAAGAGAGTGTAAAAGGATACACTCTTCTTGACTTAAACACTAGACAAATTTTCATTTCTCACAATGTGATTTTCTTTGAACATGAATTTCCATTTGCAAATAAAGACTTGGATTTAAATATTGTTTCCCCCAATTCATCTCCACATGACTTTGATTTTGCACCATCTCTTACTGACATACCACCAAATACCACCAGTACATTACCAAACACCAATGACACAACATCATCTAGCCTCACCCCTACCCCACCTCCTACTATAAACACTGACATGCCATTAAATACCAATGATCACCAATCTCCATTACAGCCTCATCTTGTCCCCACACGCAGGTCAAACAGACTAACCAGACAACCTTCTTACTTACTATACTATCATTGTAATCTATCAGCTACATCAACTCATCAATCTTACTCAGGTATTTCCTCTTCCACAACTCCTTATCCCCTGTCTATTATTTTAACCTATGACAAATGCTCCCCTTCCTATAAATTTTTTTCTGCAATATCACTACACATACAGAACCAAACACCTATTTGCAGGCTTCCAAACATGAACGCTGGCGCAAGGCAATGCAGGCAGAAATTACAACACTTCAACAAACTAAAACATGGAGTCTGGTTCTACTCCCTCCTGGTAAAAGCACCATCGGATGCAAGTGGGTATATAAAAACCAAATTTAATATTGATGGTTCAATAGAGAGATACAAGGCTCGTATTGTGGCAAAGGGGTATACACAAACTGAAGGGTTAGATTATCTTGACACCTTTAGTCCAGTGGCAAAGCTTACTACCGTGCATATGCTATTGTCCCTTGTTTCATCAAGGAAATGGTTTTGGATCAACTTGATGTCAACAGTGCTTTCCTCCATGGTGAATTACATGAGGAAGTATACATGGCCCTACCACCTGGCATACCTTGTTCTGATTCTTCCTTAGTTTGCAAACTCCACAAATCTCTCTACGGGCTCAAACAGGCAAGTAGGCAATGGTATTCCAAACTTTCTACTGCCTTAGTATCCATTGGCTATTCTCAATCTCAAGCTGATTTCTCTCTGTTCACAAGACAACATGCTAATTCTTTCACAGCTCTACTGGTCTATGTTGATGATATTGTACTTGCTGGTGACAATATGGAAGAAATCCAATGTGTAAAAATATTTTTGGATGGAAAATTTCGGTTTAAAGATTTGGAAAAACTTAGATTCTTTCTGGGACTTGAAATATGTCGATCTTCATCTGGAATTGTTCTCAACCAGCGTAAATATACATTAGAGTTGCTATCTGACTCTGGTTTATTGGGATGTAAAGCTGCTAACACGCCAATGTATTCTTCACTAAAACTTAGTCGTGATTCAGGACATCATCTCCCTGATGCTTCCTCATATTGCAGGCTTATTGGACGATTATTGTACCTTACAATTACTCGTCCAGACATCTGCTTCAGTGTTCATCAGCTCAGCCAATATCTAGCAGCTCCCACTGACATCCATCTTGCAACTGCTCATAGAGTTCTAAGATATCTTAAGGCATCTCCTGCTAAGGTTCTTTATTTTCCAGCAGCTTCTTCCACACAACTGAGTGGCTTTGCAGATGCAGACTGGGCTTGTTGCCCTAACACTCGACGGTCTGTTACATGACTCTGTGTTTTTCTTGGTTGTTCATCTCTCATTTCTTGGAGATTAAAGAAACAAACAACAGTATCTCGCTCCTCAACTGAAGCCGAATATCGTGCTTTAGCTGCAGTCACTTGTGAAGTACAATGGCTCTCTTTCCTTCTTCAAGATTTTGGAATTTCGCGCGAGAAGCCAATCCCAATTTTCTGTGATAATCGCTCTGTTATTTACCTCTCTCACAATCCAGTCTTCCACGAACGTTCCAAGCACATGAACTTGATTGTCACATAACTCGTGAGAAGATTCAATCTGGACTCTTGCATCTTCTTCCTATCTCTACTAATGACCAAGTTGCTTATATCTTTACCAAGGCTCTCTTGCCTTCTTCGTTGAGCACATTTGTTGGCAAGCTTGGCCTTATTGATGTTCATAACCCAGCCCAAGGGGGGGTGTTACCAGACTCAAATTTGTTTGGGCTCAAACAAGCCCAGCCCAATATAATTTAAATAGTCTTTTAGTTAGTTACACATACAGTTAGTTAGTTAGAAAATTCGTTCAGGAACCTTTTGTATATAAATACTCTTCTCTTGTATTTTTTGAGTTAGTTTTCATAATACAATTTTCAAGTTTAATTTCTTCGATTTGTTCTCTCTCTCAGTTCATGTTTCCTCCGAGCTCCTTTTGTTCTTGCATGTGAAGATCTACTTCTGCATGCTGATTTTGCTGTTATAAGACTACTTGCGTCACACGTTAAACGCTCCAAACAACCAACAGGAAGCCTTGGCGTTATTGATACATGACTTGCTTTTCATACCTATCTAATATTGTGGGTGAACTTCTGTTTCCTAACCGCATTGATTGCTGTGGGGTCAACCGTACGGTTGAGCCATTCCATTCCCCGCATGAGGGGGTTTGGTGAGCTGCCTAAGTATATAATGTTTTCGGTTTTATTTTTTTCCTTCTGAAGTTTAAGTGTATGTTGTTGAACCATTCCACTTTTGATTATAATATCTTAGTTGCTCAAAACCATATCTCGTAGTCATTGGTTCACCTAAAAAAAACCCAATGTCATGGAGCACCACCACTTTTCTAATTTCAAATTCAAAGTGGTTGTTTTAAAAATCTGTCTAAATATTTTTCCAATTTTATGCTGGGAAAGATAATTTTATTTTATACATACACATAAAAGTCTTTGGGGCCCAGTGACGAAGCCACTTGGTGGTTAGATACCAGCTGATTTTTTAAAATATTACATATTTTCTTTAAAAATTATGGTATAACATTAATATTAGTTAGGTTTTTAAAAGTGATACAATATTGGCACTAGCTGGATTTTGCACTCTCCCACTGGTGGGGCCTATATGAAATCATATGAAGAGAAGAGAGAAAAAAAATATAAGCTTCACATACTTTTATGTGTATAGAAGATAAAATTATCTTCTGTAATATGAGAAAAATTCATCACTAATTATATTTAGGGTATAAAGTTTCTAAAGTTACTTTAGATAATTTTATCTAATGTTCACTAAAATACACACACAAAAAATGTATGGGGCCTATATTTTTTTTTTCTTTTCTCTTCATATGGATCTACATAGATCCCACATATTTTTTGAGTATTTTATTAAACATTAGATAAAGTTATATAAGATAACTTTAGAATCTTTAACCCTTTTTATTTATTATTTTTAGTATTTGGATAACTTCTCACATCTCATGGGAATTTAAGTCACAATATATTATGTAGAGTTAGCTAGCATACTATGTTCTGGAAATTACAGACAAAAATTAAGAATGAGTAACATTTAAATCTAATTGACCCTACAGGAAATCTCTATCTGACTGTCTCTCTTTATACATGTGCACACATCGAGTAAAGTAGTTGAGATACGTATTAACATCTCTCCGTTTAGTCTGCTAAACATGAACTTCATAGCCTCAACGCATTGTCGTATTGCCGCGTGCCTGCTTCATCATTCTTCAGTCTTCAATTCACGAGAGATTTAACTCTCAATGCATTTCCTTCCACGTGTTCCAAGTTGACTACGGAGGAGTCACACTCTCAAACCGATTACACCCTCTGATCTTGACCTCGATCACATCGTTCACCCCATCTCCACCGTTGATTATCTCGCAGCATTGTCTACGTGGGGCCTGCTGATTCAGACCACATTAGGCACCAATTAATTTTCGGAATACATAAAAATAAAAATATTATCACTTACACAACATTCTCCTGCAAATACTTAAAAAAATAGATACAGAAGTAATTCCTCTTTAAAAATAATTTTAAAATTATTATATGAGATAGAACATTATGTCTATATCATACTCTCAATTAATCTTCATATTTTCTCTCTTTTCCCACTATTAGTTGAATTATAAAGTAAGTACCAAAATAATAAATATAATATCCTATCCCTTTTTAAATTTATATAATTTAATTATATCTTTTCTAAAAAATTCAACTTGGGTTAAAATCGAAATTTAGGTTCTACCCAACCCAACGAACAAACCAACAAAATCGCAGTCAAAATATTGGAGCATAATCCGCAAGAAATGTTGGCAACCAAAAGAGTAAACGAATTACGTCAGAAAAGTCCCATACCTTTTTCCACAAATGTTGCATAAAGTGAGACGCATAAACGTCGACGTATGGAACGGCTAAGGCCGTCGTGTACTCAACGCCCTCACATTCTTTTCCCGAAACGTCGACGTATCTTCTGTATCTGGATCGGGTCTGTCCCCCGCCCACATTATCAACCCGGTCCAGGAAATAGACGAGGGGCTTCTCACACGGGTCATTTCTCACGGGTCGGGTGTTGAACGTAAACGGGCCATTTTTCCAGCTCCGCCACGTCTTGAACGTGCCGAACGTCGTTTCAAGCTCTTTGGCCGTGGGTAGGAAAGGATACAACTCGACGCTGTAGCCCCACGACACCGAGACCGACCAATTCCTCCGAAGATCGTAACAGAAACTCCGCTGCAAGGTCCGACCCGGATCCGTTTTATAGGCGGCCGTGACCAACTTTTTAGCGGAGTCAACCCGGTTCATGTTTGGGAACATTGGGTCCACATAGTCCAAGTGGTGCAACGATACCAACGGTGCTACAGGGTGCGCCGCCAATAACCCATATGGGTTGCCACGTATATCAACCTATAATAAATAAGTTAGTTAAACGGAAATAAATGAATGAACGCTTTTTTTTCTCTCTCAACAATTACTTAGGTGATTACACGTAAGCGAGTATGGTTGGTTACATTTTCTTCCTAAAATAGTGGTTAGAATTACTCCTTTTTAAAAGTTAATAATGATATGTTTTAATAAAAAAAATTGTACTTTTTCAAAAAATAGATTTTTCCATGAATTTTTTTTCCTTCAACCGAGATGAAGAGGTTATTCCAACTTAATTATTAATTTCAAAAACAAAAATGAAGAGATTTTGTTATTCTTATAATTCTTAAATTAAGAGGAGGTTTTTTTTTTATTTGTTCATCTATTAATTAAATAATAAGATGGATTAAATTGGAACAATCCCTAATCTATTGAATCACGTGTTATCACTCCTCATATCAGAAGTGCCTTGATTGTGAAAAGAGTTTTATTATTCTCCTTTTACATAAGATAGTTAACTATATTATGTAGTAGAGAGAAAATATATGAGTCCCGTCATTAGAAGAAAAAAAAAAAAAGTGAGGTGCGAAGATTGAAGTAAGAGAGTAGGAGAGAAGTTATTATGTAAAAGGAGAGTAATATTTTTCTTGTGAAAATGTTGACAAAAACTTATTTTTTGTTTAATTTTATATACAAACTCAATTTATTTCTAATTTTTGTTAAAAAAAAGAAAAGAAAAAACATACCTGATGAAAACCAAGCTCTTTGGTGATCTGAACACCAATCTCACTTATGCAACTCTGAATTTTTTGATCAGACCCATAGAATTGAGCATATCGATCAATGCAACCATCCAAAATCTTCACCAGCTCCGCCGCCAAAGGGTAGCTTATGGCAAACCCGCCGCCGCCATAGGCCATGGTGTAAAAGTGTATGACATCCTGTTCCACACTCTCAGAATTCCCACCAACATAGTACATTTGATTGTGATCATATTTCGACAACACCGTAACGAGGTTGTCGGGGAAGAAAACAGTGTCATCATCACCCATCACGAACCACCTCACGTTATCCAACCCTAGCTCGAAGCTCTCTTTAACAATGCGCGCTATGCGAATCGCCGACCGTGAACCGTACCAGCACGTGTACTTGAACGACGACGTATCGCCGGAGACCCTGTACGGAGGCGAATTCTCAGGCCACGTCTCGTTTTCTGGCGGTTTTTGCTCCAACCAAACGAAGCCTCTTGTGACCCCTGGCTGCCACCAGAGCTCGCTGTAATGGCGGCGCTTGTGCCAGGTGACGGCAGAGCCGCCAATTCCGAACAAGATGTGGGAAATATTGGTAGGTTCTTCACCGCCGCCGCCGGAGCGGCCGTAAACTATGTCTTTAAAGTTTGTGGGGTCGTAATAGAAGAGGGAAAGGGTATGGGGAGAGTCGCTTGTTGAGAGGGAGAGAGAGAGAGAGAGGTAGAAGAAAAGGGAGATGAAGAGGAAGGTGGATATGACAAGACCCGTTTTGCGGAAGAGAGAGAGAAAATCGCTTGGTTTGATGGTGGGGATGAGAAGGGTTTTCCATGCCTTTTTGAGAGGGTCTCGAACTGGTTCTGTTGAAAAAGAAGACATTCGAAATGATCTACAAAGTTTTTAAGCTATGGAATTAAAAGGGTATATATATATATATAGATACGCATGTAGATACTGTATAGTGTTTCTGTTTTTAAGAGGGAAGTGTAGTGGAGCAATAGTAGTTAGTGGCTTGAACGTCTTCCTTCATTATAGGTGGCAGCAACGGGATATATATGGCTACCAACTATTCCTATGATTAAGTCTTAAATAAATAAGGGTGGGAATCTCATCATTTAGTATTTGAAAAGTCGAGAATAAATTGGAGAAATCTTTATACCTAATTAATGCCACATGAAAATGAGGATTTTTGATCTGCAAGTTTTAAAAGATCTTCATAAAGAAAGATTCTTGGAATGTTTAAGGATCACCAAAATTATTGAGAAAGTTATTAGAATATTTGAAAAAATAGACACTAGATTTTGGCATTCTTCAAACTCAAAGCATCTGTGGCAGCGGCTCCTATTTGGCATTACCAAATTTCAAAGTAGAAATTGATGCCTCAGGAATTGAAGTGGGAGCGGTTTTAATGTAAAACAATCATCTCATTGTGTTTTATAGTAGGAAATTGGCACCTACTATGCGCACCAAATCCACATACATTCGCGAGATGTTCGCGATTACAACAGTAGTAGCCAAATGGAGACAATACCTATTGGGGGTACCATTCACCATTTGGACATATTATAAGAGTTTGCACAACCTCATGAATCAGGTTGTCCAGACTCCGGAGCAACATAACTTCTTTTCAAAGCTATTAGGCTTTGATTACACCATTACATACAAGTCTGATAAGGCCAACGTAGTGTCGACGCCTTATCCAGGCATCCAGAAAGGGTTTTCGACACTATAAAACCATTTTGCAGCCCTTAGTGGTCCTATCAGTGATTACAAATCCCTACTGCTACAAGAATTACAACAAGACATCTCTTGTGCTATTATTTTACAAGATTTAGCTACAGAACTAGCCAAGTGGCCTCAGTGGAAGTGTAAGGAGGGCTTGTTACTGTTTCGCAACCGCATCGTTCTCTCTGCTACATCTACTATCATTCCACACTTGTTACACTATCTCCACACTTTAGTGCAGGGAGGTCATTCAGGATTTCAAGGTACTTTGTATCGAATTACCTTTAACTTCACCTGGAAGGGAATGAGAAAAACAGTGCGTGAATATGTCGCCAAGTGTTAAATTTGCCAAAAGATTAAACCCCCAAACCATTCGCCATTTGATTTATAAACTCCAATTAAGCCCCCAGATGAAACATGGACAGATCTGAGTATGAATTTCATTACTCACCTACCCCCTTCACATGGCTTTACAACGATTCTGGTTGTCATTGACCGATGTTCAAAAGAAGCTCATTTTGTTCTGTTACCTTCCTGCTACACAGCTGCCAAGATAGCACAAGTCTTTTGGGATTCGGTGGGAAAATTATATGTTCTACCTCGGTCCATCATTTCGGATCGTGATCCTTTGTTTTTAAGTAATTTTTGGACCTCCCTCTTCCACCTGCAAGGAACAGCACTTCGTTTCAGTTCGGCATATCACACTTAGTCTAATGGCCAAACTGAGAGAGTAAATGGATGAGTGGAATAGTTTATGATAGCTTTTACCTTTGATCAACCTTCAGCTTGGTCTAGGTATTTATTGTGGGCAGAATATCACCACAATACGTCCTTCAATAGCGCCACAAGCTTCACCCCATACCAGATTACATTCGGTAGACCCCCTCCGAATATATTATCTTACACACTGGGGTCCTCACCCAACGACGTTGTGGACGGCGTTCTTTTTTCAAGAGCTTCCATCCTCGCAATTGTGAAGGACAATCTGCTCTGATCTCAAATTCAAATGAAGAATCAAGCTGATAAAAAAAGAAAAGCGTGGGAGAACATGTCCTCCTCTGCTTATGACCTTATCGGCAGATTTCATTACATCGAAGGTCTTCGCAAAAGCTGGCCTTGAGGTTCTGTGGCCCCTTTGAAATCATTGGACGAATTGGTCTGGTAGCATACCATTTAAAGTTGCCACCTTTGGCTTGAATCCACCCCATCTTTCATGTCTCGCTCCTATGTCCGATCAGGTCCGACCGGAACTATCAAATTCATGATTTGCCCAACACATCTCCGGACAGCCCTCTGGCCCATACATCGGCAGCTATTGCAGGAAATCGCAACGTTTGGCGTAAGGGATGACGGTCACCCAAGTTCTAGTTCAGTGGTGTGGATTACCTCCCGAGGATAGTACATGGGAGGATAAAAGATTCGATCTTTGCACAAGAAGCTGATGGCAACATGCAAGGGAATTTCGAGCTTCCACCACAGGACCAAACACAACAAGGCAGGGAAAAAGACAACTCTCTGGAAGGACATATGACATTACCGGTGGAAAAGGATTCACAGGTAACCCCACCATTACCTTCTCCATTTGGAGCAGAAAAGAGAAAAATATAGCATTAGGACAAGGGCAGCAACGTTTTAGTTCTGGACCCAATACTCAATGTGCCAACTAAGTTGCGTGGGGAGTCTGCTGTCATTAAAGCTCATCTGCCAACCACTTTCATGCGCTACTCAAAACGCGCTTCTCCAGAGCGTGAATTACAGCTGGAATCCAACCCCTCTCACCTCATTAGACCGCTTCTCAAATCAGACCCTCTGATTGGTCCACCACAAAATCTTATCCTCGAGGACGAGGATATTTTTGAACGGGAAAGGAATGTAGCAGACCCAATTGAGATTGCAACATTACCAGAGAAGCGAGCCCGTATGCAGCCTAATTATCTAAAAGACTATGAGACCAGTTAAAGACTGTAGTAGAATAATTGTCTTTTATTATTCAGTACACGTGTAATCAGACTATCAGGCCCAACTAGTTTAGGGCATACATAGTAACACTAGAAAGGAAATGGAGTAAACATGAGTTAATTCTTCTTCGCTCTAATTTCTTTTATCTCTACCTCTCGTCTGAACTATCTTCTTGATAATTCTGGATTTCATTGCTATACCCAAAATTTGAAATGGCTGTAAATATTTTATTTTATTTTTTAAATAAAAAAGAACTAATTAAAAGGAAGTCCATACAATTGATTGCAAGGCTCTATATTGCCTTGTTCACTAGGGACCAAAACTTTCGACACGACCCGAATAGGGTAAGGATTTTGTGTTTATGTTAACTCATATTCGAATTTCCTGTCGATCAAAAAGTGATATGAAAAAATTATGTGATGTTCGTGTCAACCTATTTAAATTAAATAATTACATATTTATCCAACTTTTTATTTGTTAATTTAAAGTTATTTAAGTATTTTTCATTCAAAAAGTAAAATAAACGAGTTCTTCATCTTGTATCGTGTCAATCAGTGTAGTACAGATTGTGTTTGTGGTGAGATTTTTACATAAATTACTATTCGTATTAAGGATATATGAGTTCTTAGCGAATTCTTGTTGACTCATGTATGACCCGCAAAGTTGAATTGCCACCCCTTCGACAGTTGAGTGGTAACATTAATATTACTATAAATTTTTATTTTTAGTAACTTTATTATTAGAGTAAATATCATTTTTGGTCCTCAGCAAATTTCATGATGGCTGCTTTAGTCCCTAGCAAATAAAAAGACCCATCGTGGTCCCTAAGAAATTCAAAATGGTCCCATTTTAGTCCTTTTAGGGACTAATATGGGTCTTTTTTGAATTTGTGAGGGACCACGATTTCAACTAAATGAGTTCATTTTGAATTTCTTAGGGACCACGATGGGCCTTTTTATTTGCTAGGGACCAAAACGGGCACCGTGAAATTTGCTGAGGACCATAAAAGGTATCTGCTCTTATTATTATTGACCAAATTTTCAAATAACATCAATGCCATCTTAATTTGGTAGCTTTAGTACTATCTCTCGTCATGAAATTCTCTATATTAGTATTTACTTATAACTCATATTTTTCTGAAGGTAACTTCAATATTGCCTTATTTCCACAGCATCCATGCTATCGATGAAATATGTTCTCTACAATTTAGCACCTATCAGTGGCCATTGTATTGTCTCATATCACACGTATAGTTATGCATGATGACTTTTCATGTGTGATCAAATGATAACTTTTTTTATAGCATTATATGGTTTTTTTAATATAATAATACCTTCGACCTTCGAATCTATGACTTTGTGTAAATTATCAAACTCCTCCCTACAACACCAATTGTGATGGTTTAGCAACAGATTCCTTTTTAGTATTGCTTTTGAATAGCAAAGTGAAATGACCATATACTATTTAAATGTTTGATTATACTTGGCCATCAACCACATGTAAGTTCTAACTTATATTGAAATGCGAAATATGATAGATCATAAATATCTCTCGCCATTGCTTTCCTTTTGTTTTGAATAGTTTCTGCAACTGATATGAAAATCTTCTATTGAGTCTTTCAAACTCTTCTCTACAGCCCATATGGTGTGCAGCCTTTATGTAGAGTGAGCTCTGATAACACATATTTTGTTACACTTATTTATTACTCTTGAGTGGTATTTTTATGATTTATTTGAATTAAATAAAGATCTTTTGCGTCAAATCAAAATTCTAGATTTTAATTGGGTTTAATTGATTTTCGTCATAATTTTCTAGATTTACACTACTTTTGTATTTTGACCATATCTCACTCTACAAATGTTCGATTGACTCTGTTCTTGTTGCGTTTTGCAGATAATAGATAGGGCTACGATCGCTATTTCTTCTACTAAAGTCCAATTGGGACGGGAAGATGGTCTAAACCTGAGCCCAAGATGGACGTGTTTTGCTGGAAATTTATTTTGACGTTTGGACTTAAGTTATAATTTTGAACCCAATGTACATTAGGGGTGGCAATATGGGTTGAGCCCGGCGGGTCAACCCGCCAACCCGTCAAAACGGGGCGGGTTGGGTTGAGATTTTCAACCCACCAACCCACCTCAACCCGCCCCGCCTAGAAGTGGGTCAAAACGGGTTCAACCCGCCGGGTTTTAAAT